CTCCTCTTCCTCCTCCTCCTCGACTTCGCGATCCCAACCCAACTGAATAATTTGTGGATCTGATAAATTGATGGCGTCGGCCATTTTGAGAGTTGCGTACAAGCATTCAAAGACAATACAAAATTATCCCAAACTAATGCACACTCACTCCACCCTTCTGCCCCCAGAATCTCTGTCCTCATCTCCTGGCCCAGATGCCTGCTTGTTGCTCGTCTTCTGCATCGAGAGTTGACCGAAATAAATGACTCATTCTTTCATTCTTTCAGTCCTCTTCTCTCGGTTAGTCATAACTATTTCACCAAATCAAACCTCCTATTCACCTGTTCGCGTCGACAGCTCAATTGCGTCTTCACCTTTCGTCTGTCCGCAAGTGTGTTCTCCACGCCCTCCGGACAACTCCGGAAGCTCACCTCCGTACGGCTCACCTGCTCTCCTGTCTTTAGATCTGCCTGAGTACATGTGTGTATCCATTCTTGTCGGTGTGTCTGTAGAGGTACATTGATGTGACCTATAAACGCGCAAATGCTTGCGTGAATGTATTCATGGACGGTTGTGCATTTGTGTATATGTTCAGGTGTCCAGGTATACAAGTGTGCAATTGTGTATATGTGTGTTTGTGTAATTGTGGCACAAACGTAGGCACTTATGCACGAGGGTAAGTATGATGTAAGTTCGTAGGAATGTTAATGTGTGTATGAGTGTGCGTGTGTTTGCGTGCTTGTGTGACTTTGTGTGAAGTCGTTCTTTGCACAGAAAATATGTGTACATGTAGATCTGGTGTATGGCTGGGCGTCAAAAGTCTCAACTACCCGTCGCCACGCATTTCCACCTCTCGCAGCCCCGTTAGTCCGCTCCTGTAGACATGGTTGACCTCCGTTCGCCTCATCAGCCCTTCAAGTGGTGGGATTTGGCTCCTGTAAAATGTGACAGGGGGCCGTGATGGTCCCGAGGACGGAGGTTAGTAGCCACAGCCTTCGTTGACGGCTTTCGGCAGTCCGACTCCACCTCGTCTCTCCACTGAGCATCACAACGAACGGAAGTGAAAGTCCAATTTTGGTGGAAGAAGCTCACTCCGCCGCGTAGCCCCATGCCGGGAGGGAGTTCCCACTTCGCTTCGTCCCTTCGTCAGCGCCCCAGCGGCATTCGAACTGTGAACACTCGGCTCCAGACGCTTCGCATAAACCT